ATTTAAATAAGATAAAACAAAATTTTAGACATTATTTGTTTCGTTCCTTGGCTTGCATCTATCGAATATCAGTTGCACCCTAATTATAAGTAAACAAAAAACTGCAAGAATTATTCAAAAAATCTTAATATAATCGCATCAGCAAACCATTTTTTAACTATTCCAATAACATTTTATAAAATTTAAAATTTGCACCCTATTTTGCTTACATTTTCAAATGTCGTGTTTTGTTAAATATATTGATTTCTAAAAAAAAAAAATAGGATGGGGGCGGGCGCCCTGATAGCCTTCCCCACTTTCTTTAGATTCCCTTTGCATAAACGTATTGATTTATTAGAGTATGATAAAGATCGAAAAAACTGTGAAATATAATTTTTCGCTTAAAATTATGTTTACATTAAATAATATAAGTTTTCATTCTTTAAGATTTTAGTTTTTTTTAATTTGAATTTTTTGACTATTATTTTTTTATATTTTGTTCTCTTTTCAGTTTATGGATTGTTTATTTTAATTTTATTTTCAATTTGCTTTGGTTTTTTAACACATTTTTTTGGTAATTATCAAAACTTGCAAAAAGCCGTGGCCAAGGGATGTAACGGAATTTCGGAACTCCAGACTGTGTAAATTTAATTGAAGAATCATTGTTCAACAGGGCAATTAAGAACTATAAGTAAACCTATGTAAAAAATACAAAATTCTTAACAAATGCTATATAATTTTATTTGCAGTAATCAATTATTCAGAATTTTAGGAATATTGTGGTGCAAAAAGAATTGCTATCCAGTTTTGGGCAACAAACTAGGTCTTTTTTTGTCAAAAATATTGCCTGTCTCTGAGAATAGTATAGTCTCATTTTAAATGTAACTTAAATTTTAAACAATTAAAAAGTATAGGATGCCTAATATAAAAAATATTTCAATTTTAATTTAAATGAAAAAATCAAAAAACAAAGAAATAGTTTTAAATTTAAATATTATGCAGGTTAAAACATTCAATAAGTAAAAATATATTAAACAAATAAAAACAAAATATTAGATTTAAATGTAATATATATATATATATATATATATATATATATATATATATATATATATATATATATATATATATATATTTATTATATTATATATAATATATATATATTATATATATATATATATATATATATATATATATATATATATATATATATATATATATATATATATATATATATATATATATATATATATATATATATATATATATATATATATATATATATATATATATATATATATATATATATATATATATATATATATATATATATATATATATATATATATATATATATATATATATATATATGTTAAGTAGCCACTATGCTGAGGTGCAGGCTTTCACTTTCAATCTTGAAGGTAAAAAATTACATAAGGGATTGTCCATATAGTACGTACTCTTTTACTTCAAACCTCACCCCCCCCCCCCCTCCCATGTATTTTGCCATACGCTTTTTCAAGTATCCCTCACCTCCCTTAAGTTTCCTACGCTATATATATATATATATATATATATATATATATATATATATATATATATATATATATATATATATATATATATATATATATATATATATATATATATATATATATATATATATATATATATATATATATATATTATGCATGAATGTATATATATATTTTGTATGAATGTATCTAATATATATTTACCCAAGTCACTGATTCCCTGATAGTGTAACGCTGTTGTAAGGCTTATGTATTAATCATGCGGAAGTTATTTTATTTTAAACTGTGTTAATTACTTTAAAAATATTATGCGTCAAAACAAATTCATTTTATGAAAACTTTATTAACTTGTTAAATTTCAATATTGTGTGGTGTAGTGGTTAATAGATTTGATCATGGTGCCTGTGCTTTGGGTTCAATTCCTATTGGAGTCTATTTTTTTTTTTTTAGAATATTTTTTTAATAATTAACTAATTGATGCAAATATATTGATAAAAGTAAATATTGATAAAATAAAAGACACAGAAGTTAATAAATAGTTAAGTAAATCAGTTAATAAGTAGCGTAAATGTGGGTAACATGTCTTACTTTTAAAGAAAAACGTTATTGTTAATGCTTTTAATCTAGAGTCTTTAATACTAGGAGGAGGGAGAAGGGGGAATAAAAAGGGGAGTTTTTTGAACAGTTTTTATATATAAGATTTACTTGCCTTCACTGGCTTTATTTCACTTCTCAAAATAATTATCATTTACAATTGTAAAAAGTTGCTATGTGTATATATATGTATATATATATATATATATATATATATATATATATATATATATATATTATATATATATATATATATATATATATATATATATATATATATATATATATATATATATATATATATATATATATACCTTGTACAGAAAGTTTAAATGCACTTTTTTTTTTTACTTATATAATACTTTTAAGAAATGATATCACGATAAATTAATGAGATATGCTCTGTATTTTTATGTTTATTTATACTATGGCTATAAGTTATTAGTTTAGATATAAAAAAATTTGTATGGATATTATAACGGAGGTGGAGAGTGATGAGAAAAGTAACAGAGCGATTAACTCCTTTCAATTTTTTGAAATAAAATTTAAACGCACTTTGATAAGAAAACGCGTAAAACTTGTTTATTGAGAGATTTTTTATTGAAGTCTTTTGCATTTTTATCACTCAACAGCCTGGTAACGTTAGTATATTTCATTTGGATTCCTATTCTTATTTTATTTAGAATAAAAACCACAAATACGATTAGATTTAAAATATAGCAATTTTCAACTGATACAGCTTTGCCAAAATATCATATTTTAATGGGTAAAAAAGCTGTTTCGTCGAAAACAAAATGGCAAGTCAGTGGAATGCATAAAATAAAAATAAGCAATAGAGAATTTGGCAGACGCCTAAATATTTCTGAATTCAGCGTTCGTTCAACAACAAAAAGTTATTTATCAACTGGTAGTGTCAATGATAAACCTCGTACTGGGGGTCCGAAAAAACTGACAGCACGCGATGAAAACATGCTTTACATGCTAAGCAGGACGTAACCCAAAAACGGGAGTATCAACTTTAAGTGCAGAAATCAATAGTTCGCTGGTATACAAAACAGTTAGTCGAATGACTATAAGTAAGTTATTACGCAAGAAAGAATTAAATTCGTTTCATTGAGTAAGAAAGCGATTGTTGACGTTAACCGATCGCCAAAGACGAAAAAAATGGTGCAAAGAGCGTTTAAATTATTCAGTAGAACAATGGAAAATGATTATCTTTAGTGATGAATCAAATTTCGAAATTATTAACAGAAAAAACAAGAGATTTGTTCGTCGCAAAAATACAGAAAAAGATTTGAAGCAACACCTATTAAGCCGTATTCAAAAAGGCGGTGGTTCTGTCAGCATATGGGGATGTATATCAGGCTCAGGCGTTGGCTGTCATAAAATATACGAAGGAAGATTAAACCAGTATGAGTATCGTGACATTTTGGAAAACGCGCTTATCCCTAGTCGCGATTTGTTCCAGGCTGATCAAAACTGGTTATTTCAACAAGACAATGCTCCATGCCATACAGCACATTCAATCACTGATTATTTCCTTAAAAGTAATATTCAACTTATGCCTTGGCCAGCACGATCACCAGACTTAAACCCAATTGAAAATTTATGGAGCTGGATGGATTATCAACTAACAAAAAAGCAAACAACTATTCACGAAATGCTCAAACAAGAACTGACCAAACTGTGGCTTGAAGTACCAACCAAGATGATTGAAAACTTAATCGAATCAATGCCTAGGCGAATACAAGCATGTATTAAAAACAACGGGGGTTATATTCCGTATTAATATATTTCGAATAAAAGAAGTTGTATGTGTGTTTAAACTTTATTGCACTTTCTTCTAAGTATTCATTTGATTACTTAAGTTTGTTGTTTAATTTCAGAAAAGATTTTGTGTTTTTCTTATTCAAAGTTGTGTTTTTTTCTTAATTAATAATCGACTAAGAATATTAAAAAAAAAAAAACCTGGACCCTGCCTTATGTTTTCTCTTTGTATCACTTTAAACATACCTTAACTTTTAAAAAAACAAGTGTGTTTAAACTTTCTGTACAAGGTGTATATATATATATATATATATGTATATATATATATATATATATATATATATATATATATATATATATATATATATATATATATATATATATATATATATATATGTATATATATATATATATATGTATATATATATATATATATATATATATATATATATATATATGTATATATATATATATATATATATATATATATATATATATATATATATATATATATATATATATATATATATATATATATATATATATATATATATATTAGGGTGTCCCAAAAAACAACTTTTTTAAAAATAATCTGCTGTCACCCCCTAAATGTATTCTATCTAATACAAAAACACTAAGTTTAAATTTTTTTTAAATAAAAAATAATTTAAAGGGTTCCTCAAGACCCTCGAATATTTAATTGGTCCCTAATATTTTCAAAAAAAAAGTTTTTAAAAATTATGTAAATTTAGGTATATATATATATATATATAATATATATATATATATATATATATATATATATATATATATATATATACCTAAAAATGTTTGAAGTAGGCAGTATATTTACATAACTTACATATACATATGTGTTTATGTATATATATATATACATATGTATTTATGTATGTGTATAAAATTTTGATTTTTAAAATATAGCAAAATAAAATAATCTTTTTAATTAATTAAAAATTATTAAAAATAAACTTTTTTTAATTAGTAAATAAAATTTTCTTATTAATGATTATAAATTTTTGCATGGATTTCGTTTTAAAAAAATGATAAATATATAAGAGTAATATATATATTAATTTTTCTTTTAACACATGTTTTATATTGCAGCCATAATCTTCACCATTGGATGAACTTCTTTGAAGAAATACAAGAATCACTGAAAGAGAACAAATTTACTGAGCTGAAAGAAATTGTTTTGAATCAAAGATGATTTGAATGATATATATTTGTAATGTTTTTTTTTATACACTTGCTACTCTATTCATAAACCAATCAATAAATTTAAACTTTGCTTTGTTCAAAAAAAGAAGATTTACATACACTTATACATAAATAAATTAATGCCAAAAAGATTCAACCACTCAAACTTTAAGCCAAAAAAACATTTTTGTTCTAAATGCATACTAGCATGGTTATTTTTACTAAAAAAATGTTTAAAAACAGCATTTACATAAATTTATAAATATAAAAAAATAAAAAGACACAGCATAGAATATGTTTTAATCCTTTTATGGGCTCCTCAAATTTTTAGAACAGCCTCTATTCTTTGCGGCATCAAGACAATAAGAGACAATATTAAAGTTTTATTTTATGACACCACACTTTTATTGTGACTGAGGTTGGGTTCTGTTTAAAATCTTCTGCTTTCAATTTTACCCCACAGTTTTAAATGGGTATTAAAATCGTTAGACTACAATGTACATTGATTGTTTTTTCTTGGAGCATTACCACAAAAATTTTTTCCTTATAACATATTGCTCAGTCATGCATGAAAATATCAAACTTTCTAACTCGAAACCAAATAGACACTTCGTTCTTCAAAATTTCCTTATGATTTACTGAATCAACAGTCTCACCTTCTTGTAAAAGGTCTAAACCAGTTTAGCTGTTAGCACTGATTGCACCCTAAATCATTTTTGTTAGATATTGTTTAACAGAAGGTCCAATATATTACAGATTAAAGTGTTTTTGGTGGTTGAAAAACATTGACTTGTGTGCTTCACCCTGCGTATCTTGTGTCTGAGAGCATGACATTTGCCACATTTTAACATCTAATCCTTGTTTTTTTTTTGTTACAAAATTTGAGGCGATCACAAGTTTTTTTTCAAAAAAGGCATGGCTTTAATGCAGCATGAAGATGAAAGTCCTTGGCTAGGTTTATCAAATTGTGCAGGTAATAACATTTACCTAAGGAGGCAGTCAATAAAGAATTTGTGAGTTTGAAATATGTATATTCTTGTGTGCCATGTTGTCAGTTTTTAAAGTGATAATTTTTAGTCTTCCACAAGATTCTACTGGATTGATGCTAAATGTTGACTTAATACACGGAATGGTATTGTGAAAAAGTTGTACTTATGCAGTTTTAGCAATTTATGGTCATGCTCTAAGATAATAACGATTGAATTACACAATTAAAATATATAAATGATTTTCCTATTGATTGATAACTACGCTATAACCCATGCAATTAATGATTGTTTAGTGTGTTACCAGCATACATTTTTTGCCATTATCAGTAATTATCTATAATAATTATCAATGGTCTGATCTTGGCTAAAACTATATATATATATATATATATATATATATATATATATATATATATATATATATATATATATATATATATATATATATATATATATATATATATATATATATATATACACATATATATATATATATATACATATATATATACATATATATATATATATATATATATAATATATATATATATATATATATATATATATATATATATATATATATATATATATATATATATATATAACCCTCAGAATTAGGTTCGGCATTCGGCAATGCCGACCTAACCGCCGACCTGAAAGTGTTTGAGGTCGGCAAAAATTGCTGACCTCGTTTCTATGTTTTATGGTCAGACTTTTGTATTAAATACTTTTTGCCGACCTGATGTCGACCTCAAAAAGATAGAGGTTGGCAAATTATTGCTGACCTCATTTTTCCTAATTCCGAGGGTTGATATATATATATATATATATTATATATATATATATATATATATATATATATATATATATATATATATATATATATATATATATATGTATCATCATCATCATATACATCATGAAAATCATTGATCAAACACCAACAAGAGACATTTATTAGTATTTTTTTATCGGTTTTATCTTGTTAGTGAAGTGCAAAGTTTTTGAAGAAATAATATATTATTGTTTAATAAACGCATTAGTTTGACTTTTCTTAAAATTACTGTTTATATTAATTGTTGTGAAAATAAGTTTTTATTTTTTTCATATTTTGCACTAAAAATGTTTTGTTAAATAATTGTTTAACTTTTTTAACAAAGTTTTTTTGTTTAGGCTCAAATAATAACTAATACAGATATAAAAGATTTTTTTATAGTTTATGTTAATATAGCAGATGGGAGAAAATTTGGATTTAAAGAAATTCAAACCAATTCACTATACTATAGCTGGTGCCACATCTGGTGCTTTAACCCGAATTATCAGCCAGCCTCTTGATGTTTTAAAAATACGCTTTCAAATAAGATCAGCTAAGGTAATCATTTTATTTGTAAAATTGATAGAGCATTATTGAAAACATT